TATAAAATATCTAATCGTTTGATTGTTAAGAGTAGTGAAGGCTAAATGAAATGTGAATTTAATATATTATTAAATATTACGTATATTTAAACTAATAGTATAAACAAATTAACGCAAATATTAATCACAAAAAGATTGCTTTCGTTTAATTTCATTGCATTTCCTTATTATATAATATATTCATAAATTATTGAATGAGTTGTTATATAAAACATGTCTAACTTCACTAAACTTCAAACGTTACATATAAATAGCATTTGTCTGACTCTTGTTTTTGATATGAAATATTTTGTTACTTATTTATCTTTTTATGTCTTTACGCCAATCAATCAATAGATGATCACATAAATAGACTCTCGTTTTTGCTGGCATTTTATCGCTTATATACACTGTTGAAGAAAATAAACGCAAGAATTGAATCGTTTTAATAATAATAACTCAATAAATAGATTTGTGGTTTCATTAAATTGTCGTTTAGTGTAATTACAAACCCATTAATTGAACATTGATTGCGAAGACGATAAGTAAAACTGGAAAATCCAACCCATTGTCTGATCGCATGTCTGTGCGAGTGGTGTGACTGCTTTAGTGAGAAACGATGTCTTCGGGATTGAATTTCCAGCCGTTGCCGACCGTATTTATGGTCATCGATAACAATCCCATCGATGAATTGAAACGATTTCATGCACTTCTCAATTCACACGCCAACACAGATATGTTCACAAACGACACGACCTGTGCTCTCAACTGTTCAGGACATGGAGACTGCTATAACGGCACATGTTTTTGTGAGGTATGGGTCCACCACTTCTTCAATTTACCACTCATTTCAACTGTTATTTAACACTATTTTTGATAATTTTTATATTTTGATAATGAAATAAATTTGCTCTAATTATAGGTAGAATATAGTGGCGGCGCCTGTAATGACCCGAACCTTAGATATTACATCGCCTTTTCCACTGTCTTCTACATGATATGTGCCGTTTCCTTCATTCAATTGGTATTCATTTTGCAATGCATTTCGCATTTCATTAATGTTTAACAAATTTTATTGTTTTTGTGAAAGATTTTATGCATAAATTCCGAATTCTCTCGACTCAAACCGCGATCTTTTATACGAGCGCTAAGAATAACGACACAAAAAGCTCTCTATTTCTTCATATGTCTGGCGACAGCCATCAGAGGTTTCTACTTCTCTTCGCCCACCAATGGAGGCATTCTATGGGCCGATAGTCTGATGAGTGCTTACTATCCGGTCCTTCTCAGCGGTTCCTCATTAGTCGTATGTTTTTGGGCTGAAGTGAGTGTCAATTATAATTGAATACCTTTTTTCCGTTGCAAACATATGTTAAATACAATTTTTGTTATACAAATGCATAGCTTTTCCATTTGCATGATGTGAGTGTCGAGAGGCCGACATTTCTGAGCAAATCCTTCACCGGATTCATACTCTTCAATGTCGTCACGTATTCACTATTGATGGCTGAGTTAGTGCTCCTCATGTTCACCGATCCCACCGCTACTGATAAGGTTTATATCGCTTATAAAACAAATACGCTTTTATTTGTCTAATGTTTGGTTTGTTTATCATTTATTTTCAGAGTTTATTTTTAAGTATATTTAACAGCATTTACGCGGTTTTAATGCTGATTGTTGTTATATTCTTCCTCATATATGGCGTTGAAGTTTACTTCAAAGTGAGTTTTGGTGTTTAGTTTGAAAGGACTTTGTATTAAATGAATATCGCATTTGTCATTAGGTTAGGGGAGCTTTCATTCAAGAAGAGTCTATACCGCAAGATCTCTCACAACTACAACAGTCCCGTCTCGGCCTCATATCACAGGCCGTACTCTTATTAATAACTGTTTTATTTATGTTTTCCGAAGTTTTGGGCGGTTTTTGGAAAGACAAGTAATGAGACGATTGATAAATACTATATATTGTATCAATTATTGAAACTCTTATTTCCCGTTATGGTATGAATAGAGTCCCGGTTTTGAGTCGAAACTATCACCAAATAATGTTCCGAGTGGTGGAACTGGGAGTCGCCCTATGGTTCCCGTGCGTCCTCTGGAACTGCATTCGACCCGAAAGGCTATGGATTCTAAATCCGCGACGAATTCTTAAGCGCGAGGCTTCGCGAGAGTTCCGATTGACTCACATTAGGGAAGCCGAAGCACTGGTCTATTCGCCGACCAATTCGGTGACAATACTTCGCTCGGATCAGTCGGCGTCGACGCGATCTCTGCCCGAGTGTTGGATCTGTTACGACACGGATAAGAAGGACTGCGGGCCACTGATCCAGCCGTGCGGTTGCAAAGGGGATGTGTCGGCCGTACATCACGATTGTCTCCGCAAGTGGTTAATGGAGTCCTACTCTAACCCGGAGAACGTTCGCTGCAAAGTGTGCAACGAGTTGTACGAAGTGGAGAGAGGGGTCGTATGGCTTCCGTCGGGCCTCACAATCACCCATTGGTTCAAAACGGCGGCAATCATTTCCATCATGTGTAGCGCTGCGGCCGGTACTTGTCTTGTGATCAAGATCTTCGAGCACATGTACGTCAAGACCATTAGCGTCGGCTGCGCTATACTTGTAGAGTACGTCTGCTTGAGGTATGTGTGGATCAGCTTTTTAGTGATATTTACTATTTTAATGACAATTGATTTTTTTGTGTACAGATTTTTAGGCTTCAATATGATATCCGCTTATCAAAGAGCAAAGTTCTCTGCCATCAAAATAATTGGCCAAAAGATTTCATGCGGTGTTAACACACATCCAATGATGAATACCGTGAGCCAAACGATTCCAACCCATCAGTTGTGCACCTCTTGTGTGACGAAAAGGGATTCAGTGGACGAGAGTTACACTTGTGATGCCAACGACGCTGTCATAGAGCCGGTTGTGACCGAAAAGAGTGATAAACAAATGGAGTGTCCGATTGAATACAAAGACTAATCACTAAATGCTTTCCAAATATACATTTCACGATTGAAATGACAACTGATATACGAAACGGTCTGTTGGGCTCAACGCAAACTCAATCAATCAGTTGTTATTGATTTTCTCATAAATTAATATAATTTATATATAATTTTTTATTATTTATCAATCGTGACATTCATTTTTAATTTCGTGATCTATTGGTTTCCATTTGAGTTGGTTTTTGATACCATAAACGTTAGGAACAATTAATTAGTTTTTTTTCAATTTTAATTATTTTAATTCTTAATTACATTAAAATAATAATTAATTTATCGAAAATCGTAATTCCGTTCCAACAGATGATAAGTGTTTTTGTAATTAGTTTTTTTTCTGTCCGTTTAAAGTCTTAATTTAAATGACACACAAATTGTATTGATTTTACCCCACATTAAATCATAACCTCATTCATTATTTTGTAGAGAAAACAGTGTTTTTTGCGAACAAAAAATCCATACGAAATCCGTATTATATAAACTCCAATATTGTATTGTATGGAAAAACAATAATTGATTGTATCTTTCAATCTCTAATCATAATTAATATAATACTGTAATAATAATAATCATAAATCGGTTTGAATTATATATTTATATAAGAAAAACGGCGTTTGTTTTAGTCATTAGATCCGGTAATAAATTAGTGTATTTCTAGACAAATGTTTTTCCCGAACCACTCCTAACTATAATCAAAGGGTTTGTTGGCTTCGCTTTATATTATGAATGATTTTAACGGTTAAAGCAATCAAATAAAACACAAATCTAACTGAGAGTTCTCTCTAATCGTATATATATTCTGTAAAAGTATTTAAATTTCACTAAAATTACAAATTATTATTATTATTATATAATTTAAAGAATATTATTATAGATTTTTATTGATTGACTTAAATATACGATACATACTATTGTGTAAAAAGTGTTTATAATTATTAATTAATATAAAAAACTAGTGTACTACCCGTCGCGTACCATTATTTTTTTGTGCAATTAGATAACCCTGTACCTTTAAACCTACGCGTCCCTACATATATTGATCGTCCTCAACCTGTATACCCAACTCAACCCAACTTAACCAAACCTAAACCAAATCAATATAATTTAAACTTTATAAATTGCAAGTTATCAAGCGTTAAAACATTAGACATGGCCTCGGTTCTACCTGTTACCCATAGATACATTGCCCAAGGCGTTGGGTAGGAGGCATGAGTATATTGCGCGTGGCGTTGGTTATACGTGGGAGGCGCGGTAACATTGACCGATACGCTGACTATTCCTGGGAAGATTGGGTACATTGCCCGTGGCGTCGGCTATTCTTTGGAAGCCTGGGCACATTCCCCGTGGTGTTGGTTATAGCTGGGAAATCTGGGTACGGTGCCCATGACGTTGGTTATACGTGGGAGGTTTAGGTACATTGCCCGTGTCGTTGGTTATACCTGGTACCCATGGGTACATTGGCCAAGGCGTTGGTTATACCATGTACTCATGGGTACATTACCCACGGCATTGGTTATATCCGATAATCGTAGGTACATTGGCCAAGGCGTTGGCACAATTGGTAGGGCGTACATGTTTACCCGTAATTGCAGTGATAGATGCAATGATACAATGGGGTGAACTTTACCAATAATCTGACAGACATTATGCATTTATTAAACATAACTGTTAGGTACCAAACCCGTCAGTACAATGGGATTCACTTGTTACAGTTTGCCACCGGTTTTGGATAATCCCTGTGAATATATATGGGACTTATAGAGTGAGGGGACGTTCAAAATTATTTAGTTTGCTTTCACAATGGAAATTGTGGCCAACAATCACAGCCCCACGCGCTTTCAATTATGGCTGAAAAACTGCATTTTCAACAATTAAAATCTAACACGCGCTCGTATTTTTCGTTGAGATTTTCAACTCAACAATGAATTTATTTAAATTTCTGCAGAGCGTGAGTGTGCAAAAGTATTGTTGCAAGCACATATTTAAATTTAATTAATATATAGGATCTAACACGCGCTCGTATTTTTCGTTGAGATTTTCAACTCAACAATGAATTTATTTAAATTTCTGCAGAGCGTGAGTGTGCAAAAGTATTGTTGCAAGCACATATTTAAATTTAATTAATATATAGGACTAGTTTACTACCCGTCAAATCTCACTCTAAAATTTATTACACTCAAGGATAGTGTTCAATCGAAACGTTTATTAAGCATCAGATCATTAAACATCAGATATGTAAAGCCATAATGAACTTATTCTTTCATCATTTGTTTAATTAATCCGATTCTAAACGATTACATCGCACACAGCTCATATCAATATTAATTATTTAATTTAATTGGATTCCCTCCACACACCCGCACAGACTTATGTCTGGCACTCCAATTATTTTTGTTTATAATTTTGTCGTTTTGTTCTCGTGTATTTCAATTTGTTTATCAATCTAATTATATATTTGATAATACATTTTTGAATACGACATTTCGTGTTTCATTTATCTTATCGTAATTTTTATTGTTGAAAATTTTAATATTTTTGATTGACGATACTCTGGACAGAGCCACATATAATTGTCCGTGAGTAAACACGTCTTCAGGCAAATAAATGGCCGCATTCTTTAGTGTCTGTCCCTGACTTTTGTTTATAGTCATTGCATAACAGACGCGAACAGGGAATTGCTTTCTTCTGATAGTATACGGCATATCATCATCAGAAGGCGATAATGTCATTTTAGGTATTAGTACTGTATTGCCCTTTTTCGGTCCAGTAATAATTTCTGCTACAATAACGTGAGAAAGAAATTCTTTGCAGAGAAGTTGAGTCCCATTGCAGAGGCCGTTAGTTGGGCTGAGATTTCTCAAAAGCATTATTGGAATGTCTTTCTTTAATATCAATTTATGTGGTGGTAAACCACTATATGTAAAATTTTGAATCTGGTCAATTTGCATCATATTTTCGTGCTCTGAATTAACAAAAGTATCTGCACTGAGATATACATGTTCAATCTCTGGGTTTCGATTAATAATTTTTTCATTAATTTCATCAACATATGAATTCTTTGTAGTAAGAATTGTCCATTCATTTAAATTGTCGTAAATTTCATCAATGAATTCATTGTCTGTTTTTGATTTAGAACACACCGCTTCTGGCAATTCAATCATTTCTTCTTCATAGGGGCCTGTAGCCTCTCCGATATTCAGCAAAAATTCAGAGAACTGCTGTGATTCGGACGCATCCGATTCGGATAGAAGTGCCCTTTGATTAATAGTCAGTTTGCAGACTTTGATTGACTTCCAAAGAAATGACCTATGTATAGTCATATCACATATATCGCTCGAAGAGCCATGTTTCACAACAGGTAGTATTTGCCTGAAATCACCTCCAAAGACAACAACTTTGCCTCCAAATGGCAAATCTAATTTCTTTGTAATATCTTTGAATGTTCTGTCAACAGCCTCAAAAACGAATTTATTGGCCATTGGGGCCTCGTCCCAAACAATTAGTTTTGTCTCTCGAATAAGGTTTGCCAAATCTGAGTCTGCTGGTATATTACACGTAGAGATTTCGGTAATATCAATTGGAATTTTAAATCTGGAATGAGCTGTTCTTCCGTTGGGAAGAAGTGTTGCAGCGATTCCTGAAGTGGCAACAGCGAGGACTATGTGTTTATCTGACTGCACTTTCTTAATTAGTGCATTATAAAGAAATGTTTTTCCAGTACCACCTGGACCATCAATGAAAAACACTTTAGATTCATCGTTGTCATTTTCAAGAGTGTTCAATATTGTGTCATAAATTGCTCTTTGATCTTTATTGAATTGCATTGACGCAACATCGGCTTCGTTGCTTAACTCAGGCAAATTTGTTGGAAGCTCTTCAATTAGTAAGCTTGTGGTGCCGCCCACTGTTTCATCATATAATGGCATTTGTGGAAAATCTTTTAATGATTTGTTCTGAGCAATAAGGATTCTTTCAATTTCACCTAAAGCTTTGTTCACAAACCGTTCTCTGGACTCTTGTGGTATGTCTTCCATAAATAATCCTCGGAATCGTTCATGTTCTCGTACATAATCGAGTATCAATTCCGATTCAAATTTATCCCACAATTCTTTAGGATTTATTAATTCGCCGAAAACCAATAACATAGCAAATAAATGTCTCAATTGGTTTGGCATTTGCTTTAGAGCTGCCTCACTTAAGCACAATTCAGATTCGTTATCATTCATAAGCAGACCCATTTCTTGGGCCGCTTCTTTGTATGTGTCGAAGATTATTCCATTAACTGTACGCAAATCTTCGTAACATTTGGCTCCAGCGATGTGTGAAAGCATAAGACTCAAATAATATTTCTCTCCATCGCGAGGATTAATGAAATACTTTCGTCCAATTGTTGGATATGTCTGTTGATTAACTCGTTTTTTCCATTTCTTTTCGGATTTCTTTTCGGATTTGTTTTCGGATTTCTTTTCCGATTCCCATGTGTAATATTTGGGGAATCGATCGTATAATAGAGTCCGTGGATCTGGAATTTCACCTCCTTTATAACCTTTGTTATATTCCATCCACTTAGTTAATGTAGTATTAGCAAAGTTAATGCTTAGATTTTCAAAATTTGTGTCATTTGGGTCATTTGGGTCAAAATATACCGGATTTTGTTTCGGCAAATGCACAGCTAACAGCAGTACTTTGTGAGACATCTTTTGAACAGAATTTCCAAAGATTCGCCACATCGCTGCGGGTGAACAAATATATCTACAGGTTTCGTAGAGATTAATTTCATTGATTGCCTGTTTTTGAATGTTTTGGTCAATCTCTGCATTAGTAATGTGAATGTCTGCTTTATCTGATCCCTTATAAATATACTTAAATAAGTATTTAATTGCAGCTAAGTTTGTACACCATTCAATATTTATATGTGCATCAAACATTGAAGAGAGAAATGGGTTGTACGGAACAACGAATTGATTGGTCAATTGTTTACCATTTACAGTAATGGTTCCAGTATCTCGTCTTTTGTATTGCGGATAACCGTTGTTATCGTCTTTTGTTCTCTCAA